CATAATATATCTTGATTCTATTTTCCCATTTCCCTACCTTCCCTTCAACCAGTCTTCCCCTCCATATTTAAAAAAACTTTGTTTCCATTTTTTTCCTGTTTTTCTGTTTTTTTTCTTTTTTCTTTGTTCCTGTCCCCCTGCCCCCTCTCTAGTTCCCCTTCCTATTTGAACATTTTCTTCCTATTTCAAAATATCTGTTATACATTTTTGGATTTTAACATTTTCAGTTTTTTATACTAGAGAAACAATGCAATATTTACATATGTGTGTCCAATTTTTTCACTTAAGTGTATGGTCTCAAGGTGCATCCATTTACCTAGAAATGTCTAAGGTTTATCCTTTTATAGCTGACTAGCACTCCATTGTATAAAAAACCACACCTTCGTTATGTATTCTTCAATTGATGGGCATTTGGGCTGTTTCCAAGATTTAGCTATTACAACTGTGTTGATATAAACAAGGGTGTGCATGTATCACTGTGGTATGATGCTTTTAATTCTTTTGGAAAGAGACCAAGAGTGGAAATAGCTGGGTCAAATGGAACCTCTAGCGTTATTTTTTTTTTTTTTTAGGAATCTCCACATTGATTTCTGCAGTGCTTGCACCAGTCTACTCTGCCACCAACAGTGGAGAAGGGTTCCTTTCTCCCCCACAGCCCTGCTAGCTTTTTTTATTGGTTAATTTCTTGATAATAACCATTCTTTCTGGAGTGAGTTTGAATCTCAGTGTTGTTTTAATTTGTATCTATTTAATGACCAGTGATGTTGGATGTTTTTTTTTCATATATTTATTTGCCATTTGTACTCCTTTGTCTGAGAAATGTCTGTTCATTTCAAATGCCTGTTTTTGGGTAGTATCTTTAAATTTCAAGAGTCTGATTTTGTAGTTTTTTATATATTCTAGATATTAGTCTTTTGTCTGAAGCAAAACTAGCAACATTTTTCCCTCTCTGTTTGTTGTCTCTTCACTCTGTTGATGATTTCTTTTGCTGTGCAAAAGCTTTTTAATAAGATAAAATACCAGTTGTGATTCTTTGTGGTATTTCCTGTGCAATCGAGGTTTTATTCATAAAGTCTTTACCTACACCTGTGTCTTGAAGAGTTCTACCTATTCTCTCTTCCAGCAGATAAATTGTCTCTAGTTTTTAGAAGTTCTCACAAGTCTAGAGAAAGACTTTATTAAGCTTCTTAGATATGTAGGTTTATGTTTTTTTTACTGTTTTACTTCTTTCTTCATTAAGTTTATTGGTATATTTTAGCTGTGTAATATGATTACATTCATCATTGAAAATTTGTACCTTTATATGATATGTCTTGATTTTTATTTTTTTCCTATTCTCCTGCCCTCCCTTCAATCCCTCCACCCCTCCCTATTTACAAAGACTTTGTTTCTGTTTTTTCCTTATCTCTTATTTATTCCTTTCCCTTCTTTCCTTTGCCCTACCCATCTCTCTTCCCCTTACGCTTTGGACCTTTCCTTCTCTTTCACATTATCTATTATACATTTTGATTCTTATTTACACTTTCAGTTTCTGACACCACAGACACTATTCAGTATTTACATATGTGTCCTGTTTATTTCACATGACCTCAGTGTGCATCCATTTAGCTATATTTTGACATGCTTTAGTCTTATTTCTTCATCCTCAACCCCCTTTACCTTGTTCTCTCATTTTAGGACTTAAGTGACATTGTTCTCAATGTCTTTATTTGCTCCTGTTTTTTGTTTGTTTGTTTATTGTATTCATTCTACTTTCTTTTTTCAAATTGGATGATTTTCTATTGATATTTCTTCAAATTCACCAACTTTTAGTCTTCCCACCCTATTCTTTTGAGCCTCTGCATTCGTTTTCTGTTTGATTATGTTTTCAATATAAAATCTTTTTAATTTTTAGTTTTATTTATGTTCTATGTCTTTGCTGAAATGCTTTTTCCATTTGTTGTCCATGTTCATGGTTTCTTATTCTACCATTTTACACTAACTTCTTTCAAATACTTGTCAAATAATTCCACCAACTGTGTCACTTTGATCTTGGTAATTTTTGAGATTTTTATGATTCTTGGTACTAATAATTTTAGTTTGTACCCTGGTCACATTAGGTCTTCTATTTTGACATACAATATATTTGGTATTTAGAACACATATTCTAGCCCATGTTTGTGTGATATGGTAAAAAATATCAATGTAGTTCTCAAGATTTTTGTAATACCATTTGATTCTCTCACTTTGGGTATTACTCAGAGGATCATCTGAAACTTGGGCATTTTTTCACACTGTAATTCTTTTATTGTTGTTGTTTTTTGAGACAGGGTCTCACTATGTGATTGAGACTGATCTGGAGCTCACTATGTAGCTCAGGCTGGTCTTGAATTCACAGCAGTCCTCCTGTCTCAGCCTCCCGAGTACTGGGATTACAGGTGTGTGCCACCACACATGGCCACACTGTAATTCTTTTATCAAGACAGTTGCAACATTTATTGATATCTTGATTTTTTATTCCATGTGTGCTGCCCTCTAATTTTTCTCTAACTCCAATTTTTAATGTTGGTGTCATCTAGTAGTAGTTGGATCAATTTTCTTTGCTCTGTTTTTGTTTGTAACGTATCTCTTAATCATCTATGCTTCCAATTTGACACTTCTCACATTGGTTACTTGTGTTTTTTATATATTCAATAGAATTATTTATCTCTGGTATTTTTGCTTGGCACCTTTTATAGACTCTATTTTAAAAATAAATGTGTCCTTAATACTTTGAACTATTTTAGTCAGCTCTTCTAATTTTTTATTTGACTCTTGTTTAACCACATTTGTATATTTATTAATTCCACTGTCTTTATATCATGTTTGACTTTGCGGAGTTTTTTTCCTTCCTCTTTGATAATGTTTGATTTAATTCTATTGTTGTCCTTTGAATCAGCTTTGCGAGAGTAGAAATTTTTGTAGGTATTTTGATGTCTTATTTTTTCATGTTTGTGTGTGTGTGTGTGTGTGTGTGTGTATGCACACTGAGGTTTCAGGTCAAATGGAGATTTTTTTTTATTGTTGGTATGAAGATCTCTTTAGGTTGGTTATGTTTTCCAGTGATGTGACTATGGCTTTATTTTTTAAGAGGTTTTATCTACCATTTAAACCTATTCATTTTAATTGCATTGGAGGCAGTCACTGTGTTGTAAGGAGAGAATTCCTGCTGGTTATAACAACATCCACAGACACTACCATACACATCAGTCATAAACACTAAAACTTGTTTTGACAGTTTTGTCCATTCTTTAATGTTTGCTTACAGAATATACTACAGTGCCAATAGTGTTAAGTCTGGGATGTGTCAGGAGAAAATGAAGGGAGTATGTCAGTAATAGGAGTAGATAAGGGCAATACCTCTAGGTGAAAATAGATAGGAATTCAGACTCTGTCCATGTTATTTTTATCTCTGGAGTAAGGATTAGTGTTGAGGGGGTTTCAGAGAACATTTATGGAGGTGAGAGGAATAATGCAGAGGGAGGAAAGTATAATTACATATTGAAAGAAATGCTGTGGTTGTCAATACCTGTTAATAAATTTGTAGTTTCTTCTGTTGGTATCCTCTAATCCTCTAAGGACAGTTCTGGTAAGGGTTACTCCAGTATGGCAATGAATGGTACCACTGAAATTAAAGCAATGATCAGTTTGTATTTCTAATGCGTATAAAAGCACTGGACATGCCGGGCGTGGTGGTGCATGCCTGTAATCCCAGCACTCGGGAGGGAGGCTGAGGCAGGAGGATCACTGTGAGTTCGAGACTAGCCTGGGCTACATAGTGAGTTGCAGGTCAGTCTTAACTACACAGTGAGACCCTGTCTCAAAAAAACAAAACAAAAAAAGCACTGGACATATCACCTGATAACTATATGTATGTATGTATGTATGTATATATGTGTGTGTGTGTGTGTGTGTATATAAATATGTATATTAAGTGAAGAGAAAGAAGTGTATACAAGGGGATTGGAAAAACAAAAAGAGCAGAAGAAGAAATAGGAAGGCAAGAAAGGTAAAAAGAGAAATGAGAAGATACAGTAAAACAAAGGAAAAAATGAAAAAATATATTAGTAAAGAAGGAAGAAATTAAGAAAAGAAAGAAAAAAGAAAAAACAAATACAGAAATAACCCAGACCAGATAATCAAGGAAAGAAGCACCCCGCCTATATCCACTGTACCTTATAGTCAGCGTGTCCACACTGTTCCCTTCATACTTTGGTCCTTACTTAATTGCCAGAAGCAAAGATGATTTTCCCCCTGTAGAATGCATAACTGCCTGACTTTTAATTGGTGAGGGCTGTCATCTTGGCAGGACCAGCATCCTGACTGGAAGCTGTGCTTGGGGCATGCCAGCTGCAGACCTTTGTCTCAGTTCCTATATCTGACCACCTCAATTATTTTAAGAAAGTTAGGATGTGATGTGATTTGCCTAACCCATGGTTCTCTGTCATCTTTCACCAGTGACCTCCCACTACTGCTCCCCTCCCTGCAGGGCAGGGTGGTCAAGTCCATGTTCTCTCTCCAGGGTTCTTATTTTGGTTTCTGTCATTCTAATGTGCAGTTAAAGCCTCATGAACTCTTAGGTGTGTCTTTTGGGAGGTGACTGGATTATGGGACATCTTGCTGTTTGGGGGGTGGTCTGTTTGAACAGGAGTGTCACTGTGGGCATAGAAGGACCTATCTCCCTTCCCTGCACCTCTTTGATCTCTCTTTCCCCCTCT